CGCCCTCCCGCAGAGCCCTCCGCCGACCTCCTGGTGAACCTGAGCCGCTGCCGCCGCCTCATCGTGGTGCTTTCCGACGCCTTCCTGAGCCGGGCCTGGTGCAGCCACAGCTTCCGGTGGGTCCCGCACGGGGTTGGGTGGGACTCAGCTTAGCACCCACCCCCCTGACGGTCCCGCCCCGCAGGGAGGGCCTGTGCCGGCTGCTGGAGCTCACCCGTAGACCCATCTTCATCACCTTCGAGGGCCAGAGGCGCGACCCCGCGCACCCGGCGCTCCGCCTGCTGCGCCAGCACCGCCACCTGGTGACCTTGCTGCTCTGGAGGCCCGGCTCCGTGGTGCGGAGCAGGCGTGGGGGGGCCGGGGCGAGCGGCGGTTTGGAGATGGGCGGTGCCCGGGCTCCAGGCGGGGACCCCTCCGTGGGGAGCTCTGCGGCACCACGCTTTCTGAATGGGCCCTGGGGGGAGGTTCCGCTGCCTGGGACCCCGATGCAGGGAGCGGCCCTTGAGGGCCCCGGAGCCACGGAATAGCTGTTGCAGGACGTAAAACCCATGGGCAGGGGGCCAGAACGCCAGGGGCTTCCGAGGTGTTCACACCTGCGAACCGCCCCAACCTGGCCCCCAGACTCCTTCCTCCGAGTTTTGGAAAGAACTACAGCTGGCGCTGCCGCGGAAGGTGCATTACAGGCCGGTGGAAGGAGACCCCCAGACGCAGCTCCAGGACGACAAGGACCCCATGCTGATTCTTCGAGGCCGAGTCCCGGAGGGCCGGGCCCTGGACTCAGAGGTGGACCCTGACCCTGAGGGAGACCTGGGTATGCCCGCCCAGCCCCACTCTCCGACTGGAGAAGCTCAGCACAGGGCGGAGTGGGGAGAGGCACAGGGCAGAGGGCCTGGAGGGGGCCCCAGGTGGTGAGGACTCTTCCTGGCACCGAGGGCCCCTGCACCGCCTCTCTGCCCGGGAGGTGCTTGGCCCTCGGTCTGCCTGGGAACTTCCTGGGCCTCACAGGCCATCACAGCAGGGGGTGAGCAGGGGCAGCCCCTGGCAGTGGGTCTGGGCCAAGGCTGTGGGTGGCCACCTCAGGCGTATCGGTCTCCCCATCCCAGGTGTCCGGGGGCCTGTCTTTGGAGAGCCATCAGCTCCACCGCACACGAGTGGGGTCTCGCTGGGAGAGGGCCGGAGCAGTGAAGTGGACGTCTCGGACCTCGGCTCGCGAAACTACAGTGCCCGCACAGACTTCTACTGCCTGGTGTCCAAGGATGATATGTAGCTCCCACCCCAGAGTGCAGGATCACAGGGACAGCGGGGGCCAGGGCTGGGGGATCGATCCTCTGCTCAGCAGGACCACACCCCCTGCCAGCAGCCCTGGGACTCTGGGGAAAAGGCTGTGGCCTCAGGGGTGCCTCCCAGTGCCAGAAAATAAAGTCCTTTTGGATTCTGCCTGGGCGTCAGTCTCCTCCCATGCGGCAGAAGGTTTCGGTTCGGCTCCCCTCTGTGGCTCTCTCAGCCCTCCACCCCTCCCTCTCTCATCCCCACCCCACAAATCACCAAATCTGCCCTCTCTCCATCCCCCTTCCTAAGCCAGCTCAGGCATGTCCCGTGCTCACAGTAGCCTCCTTGGGCCTCCCTGCCTGGTGACGTGACTGTTCCTAGACCCTTCCCATGCAGGCAGATTCTGGACGGAGCAGGCCCCTTAGAGACCTCAAGTTCTGAGCTTCACAGAAGATTTCTGTTTTAAAAATATCCACAGTGACTTCACAAATAAATGGCCTGGCACTGGGTGAGATGGATGGAGGTGTCCAAGAGCCTACTCGCCCCCAGACCTCAGGCAGCCAGTGTGAGAGCCCCTGGTCCAGGCAACTCCGGGCCCAAGGTGGGCGGAGAGGGAATTGGGTTCTTTTACTGAATGAGTATAGCCCACGAGGCAGCCCCCCTCTTCCCACTCCGGTCACCCTCTGCTCTTGAGGCCCCCAGCTCTGCTCCATCTGTGTCTGTGGTGCACCTGCTGCCCACCCTGTCCCCTCTCGGCCCTGAGGTGTCAGCTGTCCCTCTGCTGGGCTCTCCGTGTCCTGCATCTTCTGACCTTGGGAGGCTTGTGTGTGAGCCCAGGGGGTGGGTGTCCTCAGGAGCAGGGGGGTGCCTGGGGACACCTCACGTCCCAGGATCATGCTGCCAGCCACAGGGTCGGGCCAGCCATGGAAGGACACAGGGCAGTGACTGTTCATGGCCATCTTTATTCCCAGTGCTGGCTATCCCAAGATACTGCCAGGCTACGGCCAGCCCCACCTCTGCCAATGTGACTGGATCACCACCCCATACCCCAGAGCAGCCTCGAGCCCTGCCCCACCCCTGCCCTGCAGAAGCCAAGTCCCCAGCTATAAGCCCCTGCCCCTCCTGGTGGCCCAGGACTCTCAAAGGTGCACACAGGGGTCCTAGCGAGGGGCCCCTCGGTCATCAGCCTTCTCCTCCAGGCTGGGCCGCCCAGCAGCCCGGAGCTGAGTCTGTCCCTCGGACGCTGGGCCACGTCACCTTCTCCTCCTCCAGGAGGCTTCACCTATGGGCCCAGGAAGTCCTCCTTCCGATAGCCCTTCTACAGTGGAGAGAGGCCCAAGGTCAGGGTGCATGTCTGCCCGTGCAGCCCTCTGCCCTCTGTCCCTCCTGCAGTGTGCGGGGTGTGGCCCGGACCCTTCCCCTCTGGGTCCCTGGTCTCCATTCTCCCATTGGCCTCTTCACTGTCTGCTCCATGTGGGTTTCTGTGACCCTCCCCCGGCATCCCATGCCCTGCACCCGGGTCCCTGCTCGCTCTGGGCTGGGGAGACGTACCGCCCGGAAGTCACGGTGGAGCTTGTTGTACTGCCACAGGTTGGCCAGGAGGCTGGACGCTGCCCGGGAGGACTTCTCACTGTCGGGGCTGAGGGTGGAGGGGAGTCAGGAGGGGACACACAGCCAGGAAGCAGGGTGGGCTGGGAGGACCCCTGGCCAGGCTGCTGAATGCCTGGGTCGGCCCCTACCTGTCCCGCTTCTTCTTGATGAAGATGAGCTTTCGGAGCCCGTCAAAGTACAGCAGGTCTCGGGCGGCAATGGGGCTGGCCACCACCAGGTTGTTGAGCACAGCTATGATGTTGACCAGCACCTCGGCTGGGGGCGATTTCTCACCCACACTGCCCGGCAGCTTCTCGATCAGGTGGCTCACCACCTTCGTGGCTGTGGGAGGCCGGGGGTCAGTCTACACCCCTACTCCTGGCCTCCTGGGCACCTGGGGTCCCCTGCCTCCCTCAGGGAGCTGGACTGACTCCAGTGGCCTGAAGCCCACATGTAAAGACAAAATTGATGTGTGGGCCCAGCAGGGCGGGGACGAGGGTCTGCCTGACTCACACATCTCATCCTTGTTCCTAGCATTCCGAGACAGGTTTCGGATGAGGCCGGTCAGTGAGCGCAGCTGGTGGTGGTCTGCGGTCCGGACGCGGTCTAGCAGGGGGTTCAGGATACGCTCCTGCTCCAGGGCCAGGCGGCTCAGCACCCCCGCCCACTGTGGGGAGGGAGGGTGTGAGCCGTGACTGGAGGCCTCAGACCCTCACCTGGGGGAGTCCTGCAACAACGGGGTCGCTGCATCCTCCTGCCACCCTCAGGGGGACCTCTGCTTCCGCCTTTGCCCCCCAGTTGGGGACATCATCCGCAGCCTGGATCAGGTGCCTCCCTTCAAACCCAGGGCAGAACTTCCAGTCCTCCCAGGACCCAAGGCCTGCCCCACTGGGACACTGACCTCGGAGGCTCCGCGGGCCCCCTGCGTCCCCTACTTCCTCCCCTCCCTCTTTCCCCTGCCCTCCCCCCCCACAGCATGAACCCCTGGGAGCCCCTCGGGTCTGGGTTGGGTGCCCCACCCTGCGGTCGCCTGCCGTGATGTTCTGCAGCGCCCCGGCGGCGGCCTCTGTCGTGTGCCGGTTGAGCTCGCAGCGCTGCAGCAGCCGGTTGTACAGCCCCACGATCTGGGGGCTCCACAGCCACTCGAGGCCCTTGGGGTCCTTGGACACCTCTGCGA